AAGTCTCCCCAGAGCGTGTGGAAGGTCCCGTCTAGGATGCCCTGGTCTCGGGGGGGCGGCACCCCCACCCTGCCCCTGTACACCCCCCCGCCCACCACGCCCCTCAAAGGCAGCAGCATCAAAGAGCTGAAAGAGCTCAACGGCTGGAAATGAGGGTCCAGGACCAGGACCAGGACCAGATCCAGGGCTGGGACGAGGACCAGGGGCCAGAGGGGCCCCTCTACCCATCAAACTGAGGACCCAAAGAGGCCTAAAGAGACCCAAATAGGCCCCAAGAGACCTAAAGAGACCCAGAGAGGACCTGAGAGGCCCAGAGAGGCCCAAAGCCACAGGGCATTTAGAAACATATACATTTAACAGTGCGCCCCCCCCCCTCACTAGCCTGATCTGCAGGGCCCAGGACCAGGGCCGGGTCCAGGCAGGGCCCAAAGTGGGCCGACCCCCCCGCCCCCCACCAGATAAATGCTGTGCACCCTCAAAATAAACCCCTCAAAACTGGTTATCAAATACCCAAGACGATGCCGTCTCCTCCTCCTGGTCCTGGTATCTTGGTACTTATTTACCTATTTTGTGCATTTTCTTTCCAGTTGCTTGTCAGTTTATTAATTTATTTTCGCTATTTCATTAGATTTATCTTCAACATGTTTTAATAGCATGTGTATCCTATTTTATATGATTTTATAATATAATATTTAAGCATAATTACAGGTTTCTGTGGCCTTTTGCATCACTTTATGGTTACTAAAACATATGTATATATATTCTTTTCTTGGTTTATATTAAAAACGTGAGGCTAAAATCACGTAATTTGCTATTTTTTAACATTTTATCAAAGAGTAAACTTACATTTTTTCTGATGAAAAAATTCATTTTCTGTGTGTTCATTCCTGGATGGGCAATTACGGGGTTAAAAAAGACCTACATGTGTGACGATAACCCCATATATCCTCATCCATCATCCATCCATCCATCTCTTTGTGGTCGTTATGTCCCTCAGAGACATGGGTGTCTCTTTTGTGACTTGGCTGTTGTAACTTGGGATTGTGAGTTCATATTATTTGGACATTTATTCTGTACCAGCTGGAGCAGATGCCCTCTGCTGCCCCCTATTGGACCTCCAAACATACGGCATCTCAATGAGAAGAAATACAGTTAATTTTTTATGGAAATCATTATTAATCAGTTTATGATAATTTAAATTAATATGAATCACAACATATTCTCTCCCTATTTTACGTTGTTAAGCTTTAAAACATAAAAATCTCTATTCTGAATGTATGTTTTTTTAAAGGTTTGTGTCACATGACAAAAGATAAAGTTAAATTTTTCTGCTGCTTTTTATTAGACATTTTAAAGTTCAGTCACATAAAAGGATAAAAAGTGTTGAAAGTGGAAAGAATTCCAGATTTATAAAGGAACGTATTTTCTTTCGATGGTAAAAAAAAGTGATTGCTGGCTTGCTGAATTAATTGAAATTGACAAGGTCAGGAAGAGGTGATGCTACATCCTGTTGGTGTTGGTACCGTCACTGCTGAGTTTGGCCCTCCGAACACCGACTGCTGGACGTGGGCGGTTCTGGGGGGTGTGACCCACTTCGGCCTGGCACTGGCTCTTTAACCTGCCACACAGGGACACAGAAGTTCATACGTTCAGAGGACTCCTCCAGGTATTTGTACATTTCATTAATCAGAACAAGAAAACGTCTCATTTTGAAAGTCTATTTGAAACCAGATGTTTTTATTAATGTCCTGATAAATCAAAACTGAGATATTTTATTTCAAAATGTTCCTTTTTGATCTCCAGGTGTGTGAAAACTCCACAAAACCAAATATATTTTGGACCTTTTACCTTTTCTTTCCATCCCAGGAGGTGATTTGTAATCATTTGCGCGTCCTGCAGGTTGACGCACAAACTCAGCTCCATCTCAGCTTCTGATTGGCTCGCTGCATTGTTGTTGGTTACAGACATGTTTTGGAAACTCTTGCTGAGTCTGAAAACACATAAAGGGACACAACACTTATCTTGAGAAGTCAGTGCGAGTTTCAAACAACCTGCATTGCTGTGTGCAAGCTCTAGTCCATTTTATAGTTGTTTGTTGGGGTTAGGGTAGGTTAGGGTTAAGGTGATGGGGAGAGACAAAAATGCATTCACCACCCTCCTTTTTTGCATTTTTTAAGTCTAGCCACCCTGGTCTTACAGGTAAATTATTAATTTTCTTTTTATTCACTTTTTTCAGGCCCCTTTTTTAGGTTCCAGGTAAGTATAATGTTTCTGGGGGGTTAAAAGGATTGGGTAGGCTCCCGTATGCTTAAAATCTTTTTTATAAATATTTTTGTCCTAAAAGACCATCAAATAGAAATGAAAGGAAGCATAAAAACTCATGATCATAGTGTTTCAAATAATGAAATCACTACAAACAACAAGCAAACATGGTAAAATGCCAAATGCCATGTCGCTAGTTTTCAGGCTTCCCCTTCCTCAGGCGGTCGAACCAGGGGTAGAGTTAGTGTAGGGTAGGGTAGGGTTAGGGGCAGGGTTAGGGTAGAGTTGGGGTTAGAGTTAGGGTAGCGATAGGGGCAGGGTAGAGTTAGGGTAGTGTTAGGGTAGGGTTGGGGAAAAGTTGGGGTTAGGATAGCATAAGGTACCCCTTAAGGTTAGGGTTGTGTTACGGTAGAGTTGTGGTTAGGGTAGGATTAGGGGCAGGGTTAGGCTAGAGTTGGGGTTAGAGTTAGGGTAGCGATAGGGGTAGGGTAGAGTTAGGGTAAAGGTGGGAATAGGGTTGGGGTTAGGGTATGGTTAGGACAGGGTTAGGGTAGTGTAAGGGTAGAGGTGTGGTTAGGATTGGGTTAAGGTAGAGTTGGGATTGGGGTAGGGTTAGGGTAGAATTGGGGTTAGGGTAGAGTTGTGGTTATGGTAGGGTTAGAATAGAGTTAGGGTTAGGGTTAGGGTAGAGTTGGGGTTAGGGAAGAGTTGTGATTAGGGTAGGGTTAGGGAAGAGTTATGGTTAGGGTAGGTTTAGGGTAGGGGTAGGATTAGGACAGAGTTGGGGTTAGGGGTAGGGTTAGTATAGAGTTGGGGTTAGGGTAGGGTTAGGATAGAGTTTGGGTTAGGGTAGGGTTAGGGTAGAGTTAGGGTTAGGGTATGTCTTTGACAGACAAACCTCTCTGGATGGGAGGAGCTCCAGGTCTGGATGGTGTCCGTCAGCTTAGCCCTGATGGCCCGTCCTTTGGGGCTGTCCAGCACATCCGACACGCTGCTGCCAGGGAACAGATTCATGAGCATCGGAGGCACCTGTACACAGACACACAATCCCAACAGAGTTTAACAACGCAAACTGAAAACTGAGTCCTGCAAGAGGATTCTGGGTGTTTCTTTTACTTCTGTCTTATTTAATCAGTCATTTGTTTTTTTCGGGTCGTGTTTTTTTCTTTGGTTTTTACTTTTCTTTTTGTTCTCAGACCACTGGACTCTTCAGTTAGCTATAGTCTTGTTTGTAGTTGTTTAGCTCCTCTTGTGTTTCCACTTTGCTTTGGTTGGTTCTGTTTTCTTTTGTTAAAGTCTCATTCTTAGAGTTTTGTCTCTACAGTTTGGTACTGTGATGTTCCTGGTTTCTTCCCAAATTTGGTTCTAGTTTTGAATACAGTAGAAGCTCTACTTACGATCGCCTAAACATACGAATTTTTCAACATCCAAAGTGAAATTCGTTCCAAATATTCGACTCGACACCAAAAGTAAATTTCCAACATATGCCAAAATCATAGAAAGAATAGAAAATATAACGATTGAATAAAAATAAATAAGCTAAGTTAGTTTAAAGTTTATTTAGTGAAAGCTAGAATAAGTTACAGTACGTCCTGTATCTCAGTCACCACCTCTACCTCTGTTTGACAGTCTCTAAGGTAAAGGGCCAATAAAAAACTTTTTATTGATTATTTTTTCATAATTTATTTCTTTTTACATCTCTCTTCAATAAGTCATTTGTTTTATGTCTCTGTGTAATCATCTGCAGTATTTATTGAAGAGTTATTGTAGGTTTTTGGGCTGTGGAACAAATAATACGAATTACAGCGCATTCTTATGGGAATATTTGAACCAACATACAAATATTTGATATATGAAGTATGTCCCAGAACGAATTCAATTCGTATGTAGAGGTTCTAATGTAAATCAAATTATATTAAACTCCTGCTGCCCGTCTGCCTTTGGGTCCTCTCACCCCCTGATGACACTACACCTCCCAATCACTTCTACTCTTTTATCTGAAGGATTAGAACGTGTTCAGTCTGAACCCAAATGGAGTCGTGACCAGACGCCGATGCCTCCGACCTCCTCGTTGCTGGGATCCAGGATCAGCATGCAGATGAAGTCCTCTCTGGCCCCCCGCAGGCGCAGCAGCTTGCGGAAGGCCTTGGACCTGCTCTCGTAGTACCGGCTGACCGTCGGGTTGTAGCGGATGGCCAGGGAGAACTCGTCCACTGCGTCCTGGAAGTGCCTGCAGATGCAAACAGATGTGAGCCGGCTGGCCGGGGCTCACCGGGCCTGGTGGAGACGTTGGCCTGGCTCTGACCCGTCCTGGAAACAGAAGGTGCCCAGCGTGTTGTGGGTGACGGCGAGGCGGCGCCGCACAGCCGGCTCGTCGGGCTGCATCTCCTCAGCCTGCAGGTAGTCGGCCAGAGCATAACACCAGTCGCGCTGCTGGAAGAAGCAGTCTGATACAGAGGAAAGGGGATGGTCATCAAATTAAGCAGCTTCTCCTCAGCTCTGAGACCTCAAGATGCTGTTTTGTGTCCCATTTTTTGGTGCTTTTGGTGCTTGTAAACTCCAGTAGAGGTCAGGAACGAGGCCACAGGCTTGGCTCTAAAGACGGCTAGTTCTGATCGAAGGGTGCAGCTTGATCAAGCTCAAATGTTTAGGCCTGATATCTGCCTGAATGGAGCTGGAGACAATTTCTCCAGTTCAGCTGCTTCAAAGGAAGCAAAACCAGCAAAAGCCAAGAAAAAGAGTTTTATGGGAAGGAACTCCCTTTCCAGTGTCAGGGTTACGGTTAGGGCCAGGGTCAGGGTCATGGTTAGGGTTAGGGTTGAAAACCAAGCTGTCCCCCCAGTGATGAGGAGGCAGAGATGCACGGTCCATTTTGGTTTAGAGGGTCAGGAGTCAGGGGTTAGGGTCAGGGGTTAGGGTTAGGGGTCAGGCAGCTTCTCACCTCCCCGGTTCAGGTACAGGCCTGCCAGGCTCTTCTCGCGCTCGATGGCCTTGTTGAGCAGCCGAATGGCCTCCTCGTAGAGGCCTCTGCCAAAACACTGAACAGCAAAGTCATTGTAGGTGAGGACCAGCTGGAACGGCGCCTCCTGGTGGACAGAGCTGCTTTTGTCCTCCTCGCTGAGCTCCAGAGTCTGGATCAGATCCTCAATGGCTGCCGTGAACTCTTTGAGACGCCGGAACAGAGTCCCTCTGGAATAAATATTGCCATCTGTTAGAAGGTCTGTTAGGAAGTCTGATAGGAGGTCTGTTAGGAGGTCTGTTAGGAGGCTGTTAGGAAGTCTGATAGGAGGTCTGTTAGGAGGCTGTTAGGAGGTCTGTTACGAGGCTGTTAGGAGGTCTGTTAGGAGATCTATTAGGAGGTCTGTTAGGAGGCTGTTAGGAGGTCTATTAGGAGGTCTGTTAGGAGGCTGTTAGGAGGTCTGTTAGGAGGCTGTTAGGAGGTCTGTTAGGAGGTCTGTTAGGAGGTCTGTTAGGAGGTCTTTAGGAGGCTGTTAGGAGGTCTGTTAGGAAGTCTGTTAGAAAGTCTGATAGGAGGTCTGTTAGAAAGTCTGATAGGAGGTCTGTTAGGAGGTCTGTATGGAGGTCTGATAAGAGGCTGGAGGAGGTCGTACCTGAACAGGTAGAGGCGTGCGTCCTTTGGCCGGAGCTCCAGGGCGACGTTGATCAAACAGAGGGCCTGGTGCAGCTGGCCTGACAGCGCTCTGCCCACAGCCTGCTGCCGGGCGTCCTCACCGGCGTCCAGCAGCTGCTGCAGCAGCGCCGCGGCGTCTGAACACGCCGGGCTCAGCCCCAAAGCCGCCTCCGCATCCTGACGACAGGAAGGAATCTGTACAAAAAGGAGAGGCCTCTGGGTGGGGGGCAGGATGCAGAAAACCGTGGAGCACACTGGATGTCTCAGCCCATATGTTGGGGTGGACTTTCAGATGGGTTCTGAGAGGACTCTCCAGTTTTCGGCCTGTCAGACCACTCACGTCCAGATCCAGGAGTAAGATCAAGTAAAGACGATAATCGACCTGAGATAAAGTGGTCAGGACAAGGTATCTGGACTGGCCATGTCTCGGTCAGAGGGGGTCTGAGGAGCTTTAGTTTAGTTTTGTTGGGGTTCGTGGGCTGTACCTGACCCAGCTGTTTGTGCAGCCGTGCTCTGAGCACGTACAGGTCGGCCGTGGGGCTCCGGGAGATGCAGCCGTCCAGCAGCTCCAGGCAGTCGGTCAACCGGCCAGCGGCCAACAGGCAGGCCAGGCTGGGGCAGAGAGAGACCACACACATTCTTCTAAGTTTAACTATAATTCATGACGGTTAGGTTCAGTTTTCGAGTCGAAGGAAGCGGGAATACAGATCAAAAGCCAAAATAACGACAGAAAAAGGAAGTGGGGAGGCAGCAGGGCGAGCGCTGCAGGTGTGAGACCAGTTTGATGCAAAGCAGCAGCAGAACTGAGCAGAAAGGGGCAGAAGATGTAGACACTAGGGATGGGATGGTTTCTGAAAACCGTCCGAACCGTTCGGTTCGACTGTCTCGGTTCGGTTCGCGTGTGTTGCGTTCGGTTCATGCTGCTCCTTTTTCTCAGAGGGAAGCGTTTACACTCCAGAGCAGAAGGTGGCGCTACTGCGCCCAAAGCCAACCACCAGTAGTAAACAAGAAGAAGAAGCAGCGTAGCCGATAATAAAAATCCGAAGCGCCAACAGCAGTTTATATGTCTGCTGTATGGGACCACTTTGCATTTAGAGGGAAGCACATGTTGGAATTAGCACTGTCTCCTCTCTTGCAATGCCAGAATCTCACCTACTTTTAACCTAAGACTGTCACAATAATGTATCAAATGTCAGACTGCTTTTTTCTTTCAGTTTTAACCTGACTATACAAGACATAATAGATTTTCCTAACAATCAACATATACCGAACCGAACCGAAAACCGTGACCACGAAACCGTGATTCGAACCGAACCGTGGATTTTGTGAACCGTCCCTCCCCTAGTAGACACCAGAGCATCCGAGCATCAGCTTCCTCACCGCCTGCTCTCATAAGCTCTGCAGCTGGGCTTCACCTCGGCAGCTCTGCTGAAGGCCCTCAGAGCCTCGTCGAAAAGGCCCTGGTCCAGGAAACACTGGCCCTACAGACAGACCAATGGGGGGGTTCAGTCAGAGCAGCCCTGGGACCAGCAGGAAACAAGCAGCAAAACAACCAAAAAAACTGTGGAAGAAGCAGCAAAACAATGAAAGCTAAGTAGAAAAAGCAGCAAAACAAATAAAAATGAGTGGAAGAAGCAGAAAAACTACCAAAAATAAGTAAAAGAAGCAGCAAAACAAGCAAAAAAGGTGGAAAAAGCAGAAAACAACCAAAAATAAGTGGAAGAAGCAGCAAAACAATGACAAATACATGGAAAGGGCAGCCAAACACCTGCAGGTAGTAGACGAAGGCCAGGCGGGGGCAGAAGACTCCAGGCTGCAGGTCACAGGCCTGTTTGTAGGCGGCTGCTGCAGACTGGAAGTCACACAGCTGGAGGAAAGCCTCGGCCTGGCTCACGTAGAGCCCGGCCTGTTGGGAGTGGATGCCACAGGGGGGGGTTGTTACCTCTGCAACAACTCAAAACCAGGAACAGCCCGAAATGCTGCCCAGCTAACCCAACATGCTACCCAGCTAACCCAACATGCTACCCAGCTAACCCGACATGCTATCCAGCTAACCCAGCTAATCCAATATGCTAATCATTATCTACTTTGTGAATCGTTTTGGATAAAAGCGTCTAAATGCAGAAACATAAACATTGTAAGGTTAAAAAAAAAGTAAATATTGCTGTTTTGGGGCTGAAAAAAGTCTATATTTCACATTTTATGGAAAAACTGCACATAATGCATATTGTAGGGCAAAAAAACATACATTTTGCACACTTTAGGGGGAAAATAATGTCACTTTTCCAAGTAAATTTAGCACATTTTGGGGTGAAAACTGTAAATATAGCACATTTTGGGATAACAAAAATGTAAATATTGCACTTTTTGGGGTAAAAGCTGTATATATTGCACATTCAATCAGCCCAAAAAGTCTCAGGTCTACTACTACCACCTCTACTCGTCTTTCTGTGCTTCCCTCTATCTCCTCCTGTCTCCACTGACTCTGACTGGGGGTTTTCCTCCAGAGAGCTGATTGTCAGACTGATGAGAACTGGAACACTGTGACTGCTTTGTGAGTCACTTTGGATATAAGTGTCTAAATGCAGAAACAGAAACATGGACTCTGTGTCCCAGCACCTGCTCCGGCTGCAGGGCGACGGCCTTCTGGAAGCAGACGATGGCCTTTTCGTACTGGGACTTCCCCGCCGCCTCTTCTCCCTTCCTGTAGCTGCAAAGCATCGTCCAGAACAGCAACAGCACCGTTTGTTTGCAGCCTCAGGCACCGAGAAACAGGTTTTCTGAGTGCTGAGCCTCACTGTTCTGCAGCTTTGCTCTGAAGGATGAGCTTGCCCTGAAGATCTGGCCTCTGAGGGGGCTTCTCTGCCGGGGCCAGAAAGATTCTGCTGGATCCAAGCAGCTGTTTGATGGCACTTTTTCTCCTGGCTTCTTCCAGCTCCTCCTCCAACGAAGCACTGGGGGAGAAACTCTGCTGATTGGGATTCGAAATTGTTTTGTTTTTTACGCCAAATAGTAAACTCAGGAAAAATACAACACCCTGCAGAGTCTATCATTAACGTTAGCTGCTTTTTCCTGATCTGTTTTCCCTTTTTTTTTGTCAAAGTAAAGATGATAACAACAGATTGAAGAAGCTTAATTATAACACAATTTACTTAAAGCACTAAAAGGGATTTGCTCCAAATTCATATAAACCAACAAAATGGAAAACATCTCAGTATTAAATATGTAAATATTATATTTTTAATTGTTAAAATTCCATATCTAATAACGACTTTAATCTAGTAAATAATTCATTTTTTTATGTGGCCCTAATACTCCGTAGTACCCTGAAAACTTCCTTTGCTTAGATTTTTGTTGATTTTCCATAATTGTTTTACCTTCTCTGTGTCCATCCTATTTGTTTTGAAGATATTTTGTCCCTTTTGCTCAGGTTCCTCCGTCGTCGCCCGTTTCCATGGAAACCAACTCAACATTGCCGCTAGTAGCTTTCATTTGAAGGGAATGGTTCTACTTCCCCCCGCTTCCGGTGTGGGTTTAAAACTTTCGGGATGCTGTCAAAGCACCAAACTGCTCGCTCCCCGCCAAAGGCACCGATCTGTGTTGTGGTCATGAGCTAAATTTTGAATAAACTATTTAAAAAAAAAAAGAGTTATTATTCTGCTCATGGACTTACCGTGTGACGTCACGCTACAAGCTAACCTCAACGCTAGCTAGCAAGGTTTTGAAATTGGTTATTTTGTGCCTAATTTATGCGGGATTAAAACAAGCTAAATAGTTGTCTAAGGAAGTAGGAAGTAAGTTAAGAACATTCATTTTTAATTTATGTTTATTTAAACAGTGGAAGCGTTTGTGGACATGTTTAGAAAACAGTTTCGCGGTCCGTAACGCAAAAATAATACGTAAACGTTTAAAGATATAAAGAAGGGGGGAGCTCGATGTGCAGTGTTTAATTTGAGAAAATCAGAAATTTATTTTCGAACCGTTTGACACGGTTGAGCCGGGTGGAAAGCAGGATTTATTTTGAAAGCCACGCGAACCGGAAATGACTGACACGAGCTGGATCAGCTGATATAAATGTTGGCGCAGCGTTTTGGCCGGTGGAGGAACCAGAGACCCGGGGACCGGTTCGGCGGTGAGTGGCTGCTCGTTTAACCGCAGGAACGCTTCGGTTGGTTTTCCTTTTTCTGTTTAAAGCTGAGAGGCGGCCTCCGTGTAAACTGACCGGTGTTGTTGTTTCCCCCCCCCGCAGAGTGTGACGACTGGCCCGTGGACAGGTAAACGGCACCTGGCGCCAGCATGGACGAAGAGAGGAGGCGGCTGCTGGACGCGGAGAGCAGGGACGAGAGCCCCGCGGGGCTCATGTCCGAGCAGGAGGCCTACATGAGGTCAGCCCAGCAGGCTGGCTTCGGCCACCTCAATCACGTTATCACGACACTCACGCGCCTCACTCTGCCCGGTCCAACCTGATTTATACAGATTTGCTTTCATTGACATCTGGGATAGTCCCTCAGGTTCAAGTTCAGGTTTTCTTTGGACGTTTTCTGCTTTCCCCTCCTCATTTTCGGTCCAATGTTTGTAGCCTAACGCTAGGATAGAAAATCCTTTTATTCTAACCCTATTCTGAAAGCCTATAACTCAAGGGATGAGGCAGAGTTGCGTCCACACAGACTAATTTAGCGAAGCAGCAGTTTAAAGTGGATCTTTAGGCTCTTTGTTAGCAGCAGCCTGTCACAAAAAGGCTTAAAATGGAAAATTATTTTCTTTTCCATTTATTCTAACCCTATTCTGAAAAGCCTCTAACTCAAGGGATGAGCCAGATTTCTCCAATTAGCAGAATGGTAGTTTAAAGTGGATCTTTTGGCTCTTTGTTGGAAGCAACCTGTCAAAAAATGCTTAAAATAGAAAATTATTTACTTTTCCATTTATTCCAACCCTATTCTGAAAAGCCCCTAACTCAAGGGATGAGCCAGAGTTGCGTCCACACAGACCAATTTAGCGGAGCAGCAATTTAAAGTGGATCTTCCGGCTCTTTGTCAGCAGCAGCCTGTCACGGATACACATAATTTGTTCCATTTATTTAGCTAATGGCTGAAAAAGGCCAAAGAAAACCCGGTTTGACACACAGAGACGTGAATCCTATCTTTGTGGCTTCAGTCGATACAGGCGGATCAATCATTTCAATCACAGCCGCGGTGTGTTTGCAGATGTTTGGTTTTTGTTACCCTGACACTTCCAGCTCTGTTCGCTTTGTTGGGGCTTTTCCCGCCTTTTGCAGGAAGCATTTACGAGTAGGATTTAGCTATTTTAGTGCTTTTCTGCTTTATTTGGCGTGATCACAGACAGGTTTCTGTCAGAGTTTAAACGGCAGAGGAGGAAGCATCCAGCTCATTTTCAGCTACAAACAGGAAGAAACTCCCTTAGATGGTCTCCATCTAAATAAAAACACTAAATAAAAAACTTTATTTTACTGTTTTTCTGCTTAATTTTAGTGCTTTCTGCTTTATTGTTTTTCTGCTTTGTTGGTGTTTTTCTGCTTCATTTTAGTGCTTTTCTGCTTTATTTTCATTGTTTTTCTGCTTTATTTAGCGTTTTTCTACTTCATTTTAGTGTTTTTCTACTTCATTTTAGTGTTTTTCTGCTTTATTTTCATTGTTTTTCTGCTTTATTTAGTGTTTTTCTGCTTTATTTAGGTGTTTTTCTGCCTTATTTAGGTGTATTTCTGCCTTATTTAGTGTTTTTCTGCTTTATTTAATGTGATCACAGACAGGTTTCTATTAGAGTTTAAACAGTGCAGAGGAGGAAGCATCCGGCTCATTTTCAGCCCCAAACGGGCAGAAACTCAGTCAGTCTCAGCTGCTGCTGCAGAAACGGCGCTCAAAATCTGACAGCTGGCCGGTGGCTCTGCTCTCTTCCTCTTTCTCTCCCCAGCAAAGTGAAGAACGGGAAGCTGTACTTGTCCACGTTCGTGTCCGTGCTGGGCCCCATGAGCTTCGGCTCCGTGCTGGGGTACAGCTCCCCGGCCATCCCCGAGCTCAGCCGGATCTCTGACCCCCGGCTCAGGCTGGACGCCACGCAGGCCTCCTGGTTTGGGGTGAGACGCCGCGTGACTTGAGGTTTTCGGCTTTTTGGGCGCCGTCAGCAGGTTTCTGCTGTCGCACGCAAACGTGTGGGAGCTCAAACTCTCATCACAGCAGAAAGGAAAACAAAGCTGATAACAGACGCTTCAATGCGCTCAAAGTGTAGTTTTTATTCTTTTTCTAATGTTTTTTTTTTTTTTATTGCTTTGGACTAAATTAAATTAGTATGATCAAAAAATTTCGAAGGCATGATACTGAGGACTTTTTGTTCTGGATTCTTATTAGGTTTGCATGCGCACATTTTTATGCAATTCTCACAAATCGGAGACAATTTACATTCAAGTTTGGAACTTTTGGTTCTTCAAGCAATTAATTGGAAGTAAAATTTGAAAATTTGCTTGCATATCACAATAAAACTGCGAATATTAAGATCAGAGTTTGGAACATTTTGTTGTTCAAGCTATTTATTGTTAGAAAAAAATAAGAATTTCCTATTGAATTGAGATAAAAGCCTCTGGGGGCTTTAAGGGTCCAGGTCCCTTTTCATGTTGTTCTGCAAAAAATTAATTCATAGATGGATTACTTTATTCATCCCGAAGGCAAATTTTGGAAGTAAAACTAAATATGTCCTTAGAAATTAAGATGAAACAGTGAATATTAAGACTCCAGGTTTGGACTTCTTCACACAATTTATTGAAAGTAAAATTTCAAAATTCCTTACAAGTTAAGATAAAATGGTGACTATTAAGAGCCAAATTAGAAACCTTTTGTTCAAGCAATGAATTTGAAGTGAATTTTAAAACAATGTCCTTCCAAAGTAAGATAAAATGGTGAATATTAAGAGCTGAGTTTGGAATTTTTTTGTCCTCCAAGCAATTTTTTTGTTAGGAAAAGAAACGCAGCTTTCGTCTGACATGGAGACTGTGTGTGCTTTCAGTCCATCGTGACGGTGGGGGCGGCGCTGGGCGGCCTGCTGGGCGGCTGGATGGTGGATAAAATCGGCAGGAAGCTCAGCCTGATGTTCTGCGTGCTGCCCTTCGTCTTCGGCTTCGCCGTCATCATCGCCGCGCAGAGCGTGTGGATGCTGCACGCCGGCCGGGCGCTGACCGGCCTGGCCAGTGGCGTCACCTCGCTGGTCGTCCCGGTAACGCCCCGTCATGTGACCTCCAGCCCGTCTCCCCCACGATCCATTTACAGAGTAGAACCAGCTGTCTGAGTTCTGTCCTTTCTAAGAGTTTATTGCTAATTTATTAGTTAGTGTGACGTTATTTAGGAGCTTCTTGTTCAGCCGTTTTGCGCCTTTTTTAAACCCCGAACACTTTAATTTATTTACAGCCAGTTTATCTAAAATGGTTCGTTCTTCAAGCCGATCGGCCTGATGAACAAACCGGGTTTGCATTCACGCATTTTTATGCAATTCTCACAAATCTGAGACAAATGACATTAAAAAGTTGGAAACTTTATGCTCCTGCTGGTCTAGAACCAGTTTAAACAGCATTTTTCTGCTCTAAAAACCTGGTTCTGGTCCTCTAAAACCTCAGAGCTGCATGGGGGGGTCTCTAAAAACCTGGTTCTGGTCCTCTAAAGCCAGACTTTAATATTAGATTTCCCTAAAACTGGTACAAAAGTGCTTCTGATTCAGGATGCAGATTAAAGAAATCCTTAAATATCATAAAATCCTATGTTTACCAGTTGCTGCTTTAGTCTGAATGCAGAACTTTTAAACTTGTTCCAGCTGAAACTGATCTTAAGGCAACTTAATAGGCCAATTATGGAGTAAAATGTTCATCAGGTAGTTGAATAGTCTTATAATTACTTATTGCAACCATTAGAAACTCCAGAAAGTGCAGATTCTTTTTAAACCCCTTCATTTTCTGCCTCTAAAATTTAACAGAGTGGGGGCTGTGCAGCTTCCAGGCGGGTTTGTTTGGCTAAACGTCCTCCTCTCTGGTCCTTTCCCCCCCAGCTGTACATTTCTGAGACGGCCCATGAGAAGGTCCGCGGCTCGCTGGGCTCCTGCGTGCAGCTCATGGTGGTGCTCGGCATCCTGGGAGTTTACCTAGCAGGTAGGTGTGGCCAGAGGGGAACCAGGAAGTCTGTCGCAGTCTGATCTGAGCTAACGCTCTGTTTTGGTCTCTTACCTGGTGCTTTTTGTTTGTTTACCTGCTGCTCTGTGTTTGTTTACCTGCGTTGTGTTAGTCTGTTTACCTGCTCTGTGTTTGTTTACCTTCTTGCTTTTTGTTTGTTTACCTGCTTCTCTGTGTTTGTTCACCTGCTTCTCTGTGTTTGTTTACCTGCTTCTCTGTGTTTGTTTACCTGCTGCTCTGTGTTTGTGTTCATTTACCTGCTGATTTTTGTTTGTTCACCTGCTGTTTGTTTACCTTCATGCTTTTTGTTTACCTTCTTGCTTTTTGTTTGTTTACCTGCTGCTCTGTGTTTGTTTACCTGCTCTGTTTGTGTTTGTTTACCTGCTCTATATTTGTGTTTTTTATGTGCTCTGTGTGTGTGTTGTTTACTTTGTGTTTGTGTTGTTTACCTGCTCTGTGTTTGTGTTGTTTACTTTGTGTTTGTGTTGTTTACTTGCTTTGAGGCGAACATGCAAAGGCAGAATTGACCCGTTTCTCCTCAGATGTGACTCCTCTGCTGCCTCAGTCTGAAAATAGCCGCTTCTCTCTAACCTCGTTAGCTGGATGCTGGTCGTTTTCTCAGCCGGGGGGGGCAGGCGGGCGGGAGGGGGGGACATTAGAGCCGTTTTGTTCACGAGGAGCCAAATATCCCCAAAGAGATACCAGCCAGGTCAGGAATATTTGCTCTAATCCAATTAGATATAATTATTCAAACTCCAGTTAGGAAACTTCTCCAAGGAAACAAACAGCTCTGAAACACTGATCCAGTCTGAGCCAGAAGAAACCTCCACCAGGACCAGGAAGAAACCTCCACCAGGACCAGGACCAGGAAGAAAAAAACCTCCATCAGGACCAGGAAGAAACCTCCACCAGAACCAGGAAGAAACCTCCACCAAAACCAGGAAGAAGCCTCCACCAGAACCACAACCAGGGAGAAACCTCCATCAGAACCAGGAAGAAACCTCTATTAGAACCAGGAAGAAACCTCTATTAGAACCAGGAAGAAACCTCCATCAGGACCAGGAAGAAACATTTATTAAAACCAGGAAGAAACCTTTATTAAAACCAGGAAGAAACCTCCTCCAGAACCAGGAAGAAACCTCCTCCAGAACCAGGAAGAAACCTCCACCAGAACCACAACCAGAAAGAAACCTCCTCCAGAACCAGGAAGAAGCCTCCACCAGAACCAGGAAGAAACCTCCACCAGGACCAGAAAGAAACCTCCTCCAGTACCAGGAAGAAACCTCCACCAGGACCACAACCAGGAAGAAACCTCCACCAGAACCAGGAAGAAGCCTCCACCAGAACAACAACCAGGAAGAAACCTCCACCAGAACCAGGAAGAACCCTGAACCCAGACTGGTTCCTCAGAGGGTGGTCTG